AGCGGGCTGGGTCAAGGCTCTCTCCTTCTTGTCCCTGGGGTCATGCTTCCCAACATCTGAGCAGCTCCCAGGGGCAGGCACTGGACTTCCTTCATTCATCCTCGAAAAAAGCCTGTGGTGTCTCCATTTGACCAATGAGAACACTGAGTTCAGAGTAGCTTTATTTCCTCTATCTGGCCCAGCGCACTCTGGGCCTTGGGCTTTTACCTGGATGTCTCACCCCACCCCGGGCAGATCCACCCCTACCTTTCATCACCACCAGCTCTCAGGACTTCCCAGGCCCTGAGCTGCTTAGCAGCCCCTGCCTAGAACCTGTGGCACGTGACTCTATGTTGTGCCCTATGGGCTGGCCCACAGCTCAAGTTCCGGTGTGTGCGGGCGGGTCTCTCTCCAGAGCAGATGCCTGGGTGAGAATGTGTGCCTCTTCACCCCCAGCTCACCCCAACCAAGTAGCACTGCTCTATTTGCAACGTGCTCGCGGAAACCCAATCCCATTTGAATCCCTGCACACATACCAAGGGGATCATCCTCCCCACTGTACAGAAACTGAGGCTCAAAGAGGCTCAGTGACTTCTGTATCCCACGGCCACCAAGTGGCAGAACCAGGTCTGGGATTCTGCTCTTGCTCCACACAGGCTTAGGTCCTTGGCTAGCCCCAGCCTGGGGGAGGGGGAGGGCCCTGGGAATGCCACAGTGGGCTTGCTCACCCCAGCACTTACTGGGGTGTGACCTGGAGGAGCAATTCCCTATCTGAGGCCCAATTCTCTGACCTCTGAAATGGGGGTGAAAGTACCTAGGAGTGCTACTTACGGGGTTGGGTGGCGGTTAAAGAAGAGACGGAAAAGAAAGAACACCTACTGGTTGCCATTGGGTCCCATCCTGCCTGCACCCAGTGGGCACTCAACAAGTTGGGACTCAGTAATCCTGACCCAGCATGGCCGACAGAGGGGTGGCATATAGAGTTAGGCGAGGATGGATTAAGGAATTCAAGAGGATTATTTTGTAATCAGCTGAACACCTAAGCTGCCTGGGAAATACTAGGATCAGACTGTTCATTTAATTTATTCGACAAATGACTGTTGAACACTGAGATAAGCCGGCATGGTGACGACGATGGTGAGAGGGATCTCATTTATTTCTACCACGTACCAGGTACTGACACAGAGTCTCATCACATCAACCCCGTAAGGTTGATATTCCCTACAAAGATTTCCGCCCCCACCCCCAACCGCCCCGCTAATAGGGAAGGTACTAATCAGGCCTGGGATGAAGGAGAGGCAAATGAGACACCTGGAGCACAAATTTAAGGAGGCCCTTGCTGTTAGGACTCTTAGGATGCTGTCCTCACCTTGTCCCCACATGTGCTTGTGGTGGCCACTGTGCCGCCCAGACCCCCCTCCATGAGTTGTCCTGGCTGGTGCGGGTGCTGCCAGCAGACAGCCGTCCCCTGGCAGCTCCCTGAGGGATTGCTCAGCGGTGGAGAGCTGCCTTGCCCTTCGGCAGCCACGGCCCGAGCCCCCCACGGGGCTGGCCAAGGCTCTTGTTGGGTCTGCTTTGTAGCTTTCACTACTCCCATCTGCTCCAGCCCTTCCCGTCCACAGCTGCTGGTCCTTAGGGCACTCCCTAATAAAGTCCTTGCAAGCTGAACAGCATCAGACTCTGCTTCCGGGGGGACCCCACCTGCAACAGGGTTACCCCTCACTAGCTGGTTACAACACAGTCTTTCTAAAGACTTAAATATAAAGGTATCCCTGAAAAGCCCGGGCTCAGGGAGGATAAGCTAGAAACTACACTGTTCTAAGCACCTCATGTGAATTGACTTATTTCATCTCCACGGCAGCTCTGTGAGGAGGTACTATTAGCATTTCTGTTTTGTACATGATTCAAGAGAAGTCTTGGGAAAAAAACAACAACAAAAAACTACTTTGTGATGAAATCCAGTCATTGTTGAAAAGATGATTCAAAATGATGGACCCTGGCCTTGGGGAAACTTTCATCTGGAAAGAAAGGAAAAAAAAGATGGAAAAATGTCTTCTCTGTGCCACAACTCAGTTCCCAAACTTGAGGGAGGCTGAATCTTAACCCCGAAGACCCAGGCCCAGTATGGGAGTGAAATCCACAGGCGTGAGGGCAAAAGGTTGCTTTAGGAAATAGCCCCGGGAAGAGGTGAAAGATACACTCGGGATCCACAGGAAGTGGTGTGATCCCCGTAGGAGAACCAAGACTCAGAAAGTAAGGTGACTTGCTTGAGGTCAGGCAGCTAGTAAGAGTAGCTTCTGGAACTGGATCCTGAGGCTGTCAGAATACAAGCCTCTATGTGCTGCCAAGGACTCTCCATCCTTCAAAGAATCCTCCAAAGGGTATCAGGGATTTGGGGATCTGGGTGATGGACTGCCTCAGCCTTACCTTCTATTTGGTCCACCTGTCTTCTGTCCAACTTGTTAGGAGCCCCGCTGGGAAGGATTGGGGGCTGGAAATAGCTCAGCAGCTGGACTCCTTCTACACCCTCTTCCACCCTGCCTTAATTCTATAAAGAAGCAGGTGTTGGGTTTTCATTGTAATCCCTTCCATATGGAGAGCACTTTGGTGTTTACCAGCTGCTTGTTAACCCATCCCTGAATTTGCTCCTCACTGTGTGTGAGGCTTACTGCCTTAGCAGGGCAGGGATATTAGCCCCATTTTACTAGTGGGAAAACTGAGGCTCACAAAGAAGGGAATCAGGACAGTGTCCAGACGAGGGTCAGACCCTCCCATCCCAACCCAGCCCCCTGGCTTTTATCTCTGGGTTTTGGGCAAAGCTGGGGCAAACGTTGCCCATTCTGAGCCCAGAGCAGTCGCTTTCCTGAAGCCTATCTGTCCCTCTTCCCCATCCTGTCTCAGAAAGCTCCATTATCTCAGGGGAGACATTTATTCACTTGCCAAACACCTCCTGTCACCCACTCCATGCCTGTCCTGGTGGCTCCAGAGCCGATGAGGACACAGTGTACCCTGAGTGATCTCACAGGCTGGAGGGAAGAGTCCTGTTAACTAACAAGCTTGGCATTAGAGTGAAGCCCAGCCAGTGTTCCTCTCCAGAGTCTCTGAAATTCGTTCTTTCCTCTCCAGCCCCACTGCTCTGTCCTAGCTGGTCCTCGGCATCTCTGACCTGGCTGCCTCCCTGCCTTCAGAACTTCTCTCCTGGCTCCCCCCACTCTCCACCCCAAACAACCTAAGGATCTTTCCAGAGAGTCAACAGCAGAGGGTGGGCCAGGAGCTCACACTGGTGATCAGGACTGAGGACAAATCCTGCCAGGCCTCTCCTCTGCAGAATGGGGACTGTGTCTACTTCACAAAGTTGCTGCAAAGCCATTAGACCTTTGTTCCTTCTAGAGACCCCATGCACTTGTGCGTGCCCTGTAGTTGTATGCTTCCTGCCTTTGAATGGGCTCTTCACTTAAATGCCACCTTCTCCAAGTCCTAAGGATGGACTCATCCTTCAAGGCTCCGTTCAAATGTCGCTGCCTCCCGGAAGCCTGAACGGACACACCTCCAAGCAGCTGAAACCACTCCTTCCTCTGGGTTCGTATACTTGGCCGTCCTGTTTTCTAGCCCTTGTCACTCTTACTCATACCAAGGTAAGCTGACTTCCAGTCACCCCCTTACTTCCACCTGGAGTGTGACTCCAGGAGGGCACTGACCAGGTTGGCACAAGCCCTGGGATAAAGCCAGCACCAGTCTGTGGATAAGCATCGCTACCATTTGCTGAGGTTGCCTAGGTGTCTGGCCCCGTGTGCGAAAGGCCTCACATTGCATGTGGTCCTCGTAACACCTGACACAGGGACCATATCTCTTGAGGAAATAGCCTCAGAAAACTGGATGGTGTCTTGGCCAAGGAGGAGAGCCATGATTCAAAGCCCGAAGGGTCTGAATCCTCAGGTACCTCCCAGCTCCCCTCTGGCCTCCATGCAGCCCCAAGCAAACAGGTGAGGGCAGCACCACCAAGCTCTCCCACCCCTCCCAGGAGCTGAGAAGTCCAACATAGGTGCCTTTGGGTTACACTCCACTGCCAAGCAGCCTCGGCCTTCCAGATTATGATGTAACAGTTGCACAACTCAGGATAGTTTTTGAAAGAAACTGTCAGTTTCTTCTTCTGGGCACTGTCAGGGGCTGTGGCTTCTATCCCACCCAGGGTCCCCAACGGCCTGGGGACTCTAAAAGCCAAATATAGTGCGGGGTTGTTGGAGTGGTAAAGAAATGAAAACGGGGGCACCTGGGTGGCTCAGTCGTTAATCGGCTCTGGTTATGATCCCAGGGTCCTGGGATCGAGCCCCGTATCGGGCTCCCTGCTCCGCGGGAGGCCTGCTTCTCCCTCTCCCACTCCACCTGCTTGTGTTCCTGCTCTCGCTGTGTCTCTGTCAAATAAATAAAATCTTCAAAAAAAAAAGAAAGAAAGAAAGAAATGAAAACGGAAGACTGTAAAGTGACCCAGTTTTATTTTGGTTTTGGAGGCCCGATGGGGCATTGCTCCACTGTACAGGGATTAGGGCTGTACAATTTTCCCCTTCCCAAGGCGGGGGCCCAGCGACCTCAGGGCCCAGGCAGCGGGGTGGAGGCCTGGTGGATGGGCGGCTCCAGGGACCCAGTGACCACAGCGAGTTGCACAAGGAGAGAAGGGGTATCAGGCAGTAGCCTGCAATGGCTCAGATTCGGGGGCGGGGTAGGGGAGAATGCGAGAGGACAGAGAATCCAAGAACCGGGAGTCCGAAAGGGGGTCCAGTCCCCTTCACTTTACCGCTGAGGCTCCAGGTCAGAGAGGTGGAGCTACACTGTCATCCTGCAGGAGGCAGGGCCTGGAGTGAGGCCAGGCGTCCCAGCCCGGGCGTCGGGCTCGGAGCACTAACCCGCTGCCTCCACCCTCACGGAGGGTGCGCGCGGGGCCCGGGCGCTTGGGACGGACTCCGGCGGGCAGTCAGATCCCCCCCTTCTCCTCTCCGGCACGCCAGGCAGGCGCCCGGCCGCACTCAGCAGCTCACCGAGCCGGCGGGCGGCGCCGACCCCAAGTCCGAGAAGCAGTCGAACTCGCTCTGGCCCAGGAAGAGCTCCGGCAGCTCGCGCACGCGGTGCAGCCCGAGCTCGAGCTCCAGCGACGTCAGCGCCTCCTCGTCGATGAGTTCGGCGTCCATGCAGCCCAGGGCGTGCGCGGGCGGTGGCGGGGCCGGGGCGCCAGGCGCCGGCTGCAGGCACGGGGGCCCTCCCGGGACGCCGGGGGGCGCGGTCGCACGGCCCGGGTACAGCGTCGCCACCGGCTGCAAGTGCGCGCCGCCGGCGGCCGGCGGTGGCACGGCCGGAAAGGGCTGGAAGGCGGGCGGCGGCCCGAAGGCCCCGTAAGCCAGGGCCCCGGGTGGGGGCGGCGGCGGCGGTGGTGGTGGCGGCGGGCCCAGCGGCGTCCCCCGAGGCCGCAAGCCGCTGTCCAGGCCCGGGCCCGCGTACGGCTGCAGCGTCCGGAGCGCGTGGGGGCCGTGTGAGGGCGCGGCGGGCGGCGGCCTCTGCACCAGGCGGTAGCCCTCGGTGAGCATCAGGTGGTCGGCCATGACGGCGGGCCGGATGCCTGCGGGGGCGGCGGGCGGATGGTCAGCAAGGGCGTCCCGGGGTCCCGGCCAGCTCTTCCTCCGCGGCGAGGGATCCGCGTCCCGTGCCTTTCCCACAGCCCAGTCAGGCAAAGGAAAACGGAACCCGACTCGTGCTACTGCCCAGCCCAGGGCGCACCGAACTCAGAGCTCCCGCGCGCCCGGCTGTCGCAGCTCCCGGCAGCCTAGGACACCACACACCACGGCTTCGGGCTCTGAGACCTCCGCGCCGCGCCCCCCGGCTTCAGCACCTTCTTATAGCAGAGGCGGGGCTTCCCCGCCTCCAGGCGCTCATTGGCTGGATGGACCGCTCCTGGGCGGGCCGTGCCGCTCCTCCAAGTTTCAGCCCGCCCCTCCCGGAGCTCCGCCCTTTGGACCCCAGGCCCTGCCGGGGGCTAACACAGCTGCACTGGGGTGTTTGGCGCTTTTCAAGGGGTTTGGGCTGACTGTCCCAGCCAGACTCAGTCTGGGACTGGCTGGGGCCAAGCTCGAACTGACCGGAAGGTGGGTTGGGAGGGGCCGGAGGTTTAGGTCCCCAGAACTGCAGGATCACAAGCCAACCTCTTAATTTTCCAGATGGAAACCAAAGCTCAGTGGTGGAAGGGGTTTCCTGGAAATACACACCAAAGCTTTAACAGAAGCGAGACTGGAACATAGGCTTTGTGATTGCCACCTCTACCCAGGGTACAGGTACCCCTGGCGCAAGGTCCCACGGAAAGCCAGCTGCTTGTCCCCATAACCCCAGGGGAACCAGTTGCTCCTCCACCAGCTCCCACTTACTTGTCGGTGGAAGCATGTACTGAGTTGTTATTAAAGTAATTTATGGGCATGTCTCCTGAAGGACTTGTTCATCTTCATGTCCGCAGCACTTGGCTGGGAGCCTGGCCCAGAACTGGCTTTTAGTAAAGGTTTGGTGAATGAAGAAATGATCAAATGAACTGAAACTCATTCACCTGAGCTTCGGTTTCTTCATCTGTAAAATGGGGGCAAAAGCAGTACTGACCCTACTGGATTTTTGTGAGGGTTAAATGCAGCAAGACAGGTCCAGTTGATGTGGGAAACAAAGGCAGAAGGAAATGTAGATAAAATGAAATCTCCTTAAAACCTGCAGCCCATTGACAAATACTTGAGATAGGTAGATTATAATATTCCTCCAGGATCCTGTGAGTCTCCTTTAGCATATGAAAATTCTTTGGAACTTCCCTTATTTTTACTTCTCCCAACCCAAGGTGTAAAATCACTGCCCCTCACAATCCGGCAGTGGCAGGCAGGAGGACCTGCAGTAGCCGAGCCCACGGGTCCTGTCCCCGGGCTTTAATAAAACCACCATTTTGCACCAAAGACATCTCAAATATTCTTTCTTGGCGGTCGACTCCGGACCGCACCAACCTCACCAACACGCCAACATTCAAAGAACAATATCACCGTGCCTGGCACATAGTAGGTGCTCAAAAATGTACCTCAAATGAATGAAAGGCTGGATTTAGTTCTGTCCTTGGAGATCTTCTGAGTTGGGATTGTTGCACCTTCCCTTGATAACAGTAACAACTTGCATGTTTAGAGTGCTTCACGCTCCACAAACGCGGTAACGGGGGCAGGGCATGGATTAAGCAGCCCCATTCTGCAGATAAGGAGACTGAGGCACACAAAGGAAAAGTGGCCTTCCCGGGTCCTGCTCAGCCAGAGCTAACACGTGAATGCATGTGTCCTTAAAGCAGCTGGAGTCTCTCCAGGTGGCCAGGAGACAGCCACCCGAACCTTGCCCTCCGCTTGTTTGCCACTCTGCCCCTCCCTTCTCTGGCTTCTCTCCCCTGGCAGTGTCCTTGGGACTTCCTGGAACTTGGGTTTATCCAGTTGGTGCAGAGGGGAGAACCTCAGAAGCCCAAGTTCCAATCGTATCCCCACCACTGGCAGGCACTGTGACCACTGGGTGTTGGGAGGGAGTGTTGTCACTTGATTCTACAGGGCCTCAGTTTCCTGCTCAGTGAAAGGGAGATTGTAATCCCTGCCTGGTGACCTGAGAGCTTGTGGCAAGGTCACAAGTGACCATGGAGGTGATCACATTTTATGCAAAGTGTAAAAGCTGCACAGTGGAATTGATTCTCCTGAAACTCTCTCCAATTATGGCTTCACATGGAAATTCCTAAGCCGGCTGCACCTCAGACTCATCTGGAGGCATGTGTCGAGGCGGGGAAGGTGGGAGGGCCTTTGAAAAATACTAAATCCCTGGCCCCATGCAAATCTCCTGACTCAGATTCTGTGAGGGTATTTTTGAATTATAAGAATTTGTGTTTTTAAAAAACAATCCTGTCATTCTGACAGAGTTGGGCTAAGGACACCAACATTTGGGAGCCATTTTGCCACAAACAGTTTTCTTAAAAATGAAAAAGTGCGTGAGTGTGAATGATGTTTAAAAAGTTCTTTCATTTAGTCAATAAATATTTATTGGGCCACCTACTCTGTGCCAGACATTGATCTACTAGTGGTCTTGAAGCTTTGGGGATCAAGTAATTCCTTGAGAATCTAATGAAAGCTGCAGACATCCTGGTCACAAACTGTAGTATATAAATGCAGCAGGCTAGCAGATCTCTGGGGGATCCATGGGGTCCTCAGGGGTTCCTGGAGTTTGGGTTAAGAACCCCTGTTAGTCCTCAGGGACATATAGTAAAGATAAGCTAAGTAAAATAATGATCTGCATGTTAGAAAGTGGTAGGTACTATGGGAAAAAAAAAGAAAAATAGAATCAGGAAGAGATTGGGGGTACGGGTGGGGGGGCAGCTTAAGTATTGCACAGGACAGTCAGGGTAGACCTCACTGAGCCTGGGATTTGGGCAAAGACTTGAAGGAGGAGAGGGCAGTAGCCATGTGAGATCTGGTGCAAGCGCCATACCAACAGAGGGGACAAATGGAGTGTGCTTCTAAAACTGTAGTGCTGGGGACCCGGGGCAGTACCACCACCAAGGACCTGCCCCAGACTAGGAATCAGTTTCTGAATCAGAAACTGCAGGTGGTTCTGCACCCCTAAGTTAGGGTAAAGTCTTGAGCTAGGAGGGTATGTGGCTGTGGCAGAGGGAGCTCGGGGTTGGAGGAGGTCAGAGAGGGAGGAGGGAGGAGGGAAGAAGATCACGTGGGGCTTGTAAGGACCTTGTTAGGCCTCCTAAGGACTTTGGCAGATGAGTGGCATGATGTAACTTAGGCCAGGGAGGCATGGCTCTGGGCGGACTGCGTTTGCTCCCAGGATGCCCAGGAACGGCTTCCTTGCCCTACCTTGGATTGCCCTGGCACATTCATTTCTTGGGGCCCTTGCTGTTCCAGGAAAAGCCTGGAAAGCTCTTCCCTGAGTCCCTCCTTCACGTGTTAGATCTTCATCTCAAAGTCAGCCCCTCACAGAGACCTTTCCTGGTCACCCCTTGTCCCTCTCTAACCCCTCACTCTGTTCTGCTTTGCTTCTTAGCGTTTACCACCACTTGCCTTTATTGGAAAGAAGGTCTCCCCACTAGCAGGTCGGCTCCCTGAGAGCAGAGCCTTTGATTCTCTTGGTCTACACAGTATTTCTGAAGCATCAGAACAGAACTTGGCCCATAGAAAGGACTGAAGTAGTTGTTGAGGGAATAAATTAGGCAGAGTAGAAGTTATTGTCCTTTTTGACCAAGAAGGAAACTGACGCCCAGGAAATAACTCAGGAGGTTGGCTGAGGTCACAAGGTGTATGTGGTGGAGCCAGAGTTGGAAGCGAGAAACCTAGTTCATTGTTGTGGTTTCCCCAAATGTCCCCAATTTTTTGATACACCTCCTTAAATTTCCCTCTCCTTGAATGTGGGCTGGACACAGTGACTTACTTCTGACGAAGAGAATATAGCAGAATTGACGGTGTCATTTCCAAGATTAGATCCTAAAAGATACTGCAGGTTTCTCCCTGCTCTCTCGCTTGAATCACCTGCTCTGGGGAAGTTAGTTGACATGTCCTGAGGACATCAAGCAGCCCTATGGAGAAGCCCGCATGGCTGGAAACTGAGGCTTCCTGCCAACACCCTATGAGGAACTAAGGCCTTATGCCAACAGCCATATGTGTGAGCTTTCTCTGAAGCAGACCCTCCAGCGCAAGTCAAGGTTTTGGATGTCCACAGCCCCAGCTGACATCTTGTTTGCAACCTCACCAGAGACCTTGAGCCAGAATGACCTACCCACGCCATTCTTGGCTTCTCGAACCAGAGAAACTGAGATAATAAATGTTTGTTGTTTAAAGCTGCTCAGTTTGGAGGGCAATTTTGTTACACAGCAGTAGATAATACATGAATATAGCAACCTGTCCCTGGTCCATCCCCCAAGTGGCCCTTACTTTGCTCTACTTTTTATTTTTCTAAGCATTCATCATCTTTTTTTTTTTTTAAAGATTTTATTTATTTATTTATCAGCGAGAGAGCGGCAGGCAGAGGGAGAAGCAGGCTCCACGCTGAGCAGGGAGTCTGATGTGGGACGGATCCCAGGACCCTGAGATCACCACCTGAGCTGAAGGCAGACAGACGCTTAACGGACTGAGCCACCCAGGCATCCTGCATTCATCATCTTTTAACACATTAAATAATTCATTTACTTATCATGTTTAATTGTTTATCTCCCTACCACTAGAATGTCAGCGCTACACGGCAGAAGACATTGTCTGTTTTATTTATTGATTTATCCCTAGCACCTAGAGCAGTGCCTGATACATATTATACTTCATTAAAAATGAGATATTATCAATATAAGACAGTTCTTATTTTGGAAAACATTAAAATGGAAAAAGAATTCATCGGTGTGACATTCAATAAAATATGGATGTAGGTGCTCAATAAATATCAGAAAGTAGAATGACAGCAAGCTGGCTTTGCTGAAGGCAGTAATATGCCCCGCCCCAATTCAGACACATTCCTAGCCAATGAGATGTGAGCAGAAGAGGTTGGGTGGGGCTTCCTGGAAAGCTCT